TGTTTATTATTAGAAATGTTCTTCCGACGTCTGATTTCTTTTTAAAAAATGCGTTTCTAAAGTGCATAAACTTTTGGGATTGACTGTATAGCCAATACATCCTTAAGTTTGCAGTTATGTCTGTAATCATGTTTGTATTTAAAACAAGAAAATACCTGTTACGCGAAGTTTGGCTTTGGTGATCGCTAAACCTATCTCACTGGTAGCTTTACAAACGTAAATTCCATCGTCTTCCTCGGTGGCGTGTTTGATTGTTAATGTTGTCTTTTTCTCCTCATCGAGAATACGTACTTTCACGTTCTGGGTATTCATAATCATTTTGTCGTTCTTAAGCCATACAACATCTGAAAGTAAAAATAAAGTAATATAAGAAATGGAGATTGGCTATTTTATGTAATAAATTATATAGTACGATGATTCTGTAAATTATTATACCTGGAGCAGGATTGCCAGAATATGAGCATTCAAATATCGCGGTTTCACCCTCCTTCGCATAAACGTCGGTGATCTCTTGAATGAATCGTGGTACAGATTGCGTGGCTGAAAAAAAATCACAATTTAAATAAATGGGTATTTCGGTATAAGTAAATTATTATTTACCTGATTTGTTGATAGATGATTGTGCTAATCGCGTGGCTCCGATGTCAGTAATCTGATTAGTCAAACACCAAAAAACACACGTAAGAAAATCCAAACAAAAAAGACAATCTCATAGAAACAAACTACGAATTTTATGCAGTTATATTAGAAAAGAAAAGTTGACTTCTATCTATCGGAATCTATAATTAATTAACTTCTGCAGACATTTTTCGAAAAACGAAATAATCAAGAAATATTGGGACTTTTTTATTTTGCTTATGAATAACGATTATAATTAATAAGAAGTTTGATTTAAGTTGCTGTGCTAAACGATAAAAATTCATTGTAACGAAAATGACCAAAACGAAACTCACGGGATCGATACTGGTCTTTCGGAGACCAAAAATTTTTAATTTCTAATTTAATTTTCGTCAACGATAACACTTATTCGTCTAATCTAAAAATGATTTCCGTCATAAAAAATCGTTGACATAAAATTTGCAAAAATCCATAGTCTGCATATAAGATATTATGAATTAGAGTTTGTTAGTAGCTCAATCTATAATAATACCTGACATGGTGCCCCTCTCGTCTTCGCTATGATGCTCGCTGTACGATACCTCGGACGCTGATGCGTTTCCAGCTAATCCGAGGTTTCCGCTGCACTGACTTTCCAGTAATAAAAATTCCTGTAATTCTTCCTGGCTGTCCGCCGTGTGCAATTGCTGAAATGCTTCCAGATCAATTTCCCTAGGTTCCAGAGGATATAATTTCGGATCCATCATCAAGTTTCCAAAGCGGCGTTCTTTAGACCATCTCGCAACCGGAATCCGAGATTTTGGATAAGTATGGTATTTCCTTGCGTGATCGAATTCCATCATGGTATCCATCCTTCCACCATAATGTTCAGTAACGATTTTGCTTTGACCACTACCGGTGGAAGCCTCACTGTTTTCTTCAATGGGAGACAAATAGAAATTAGCTTCCGGTACGCCTAGATCAGATTTTCTCTCGGATCTTGGAGGTGGATATTCATTGAAGTCTAATACAATTCTTTTCTTTCTTTCATATCTCAACTGTTCCATGGATCCTTCATCCTGTGATAAACTTTCATCGATGTTCTCCCTTTTTGTAATTCTGATCTCATTATCATTGATTATACTACCAACAACGATGCCTTCTTTTGATTTAACACTCTTAATTGATCTCGTGACTAATTTGTCAGACTTTGTTTGTTTGGGTCTCTCTGGTCGTGTTGGTGAAAGCGAGTTCGATTTACTCCTCAGATTTCTTTGCTTGTCGCCAGATTCATTCATCTTGGCACACTTAGATCTAACCGGAGAGGGAGATCTGGTTTTCATTGAACTCGATCTTATTGGCGAGATTGACTTCTCTAATGCCGAGCTCCTTGACAATTTCACCTTCTGCACAGATGATCTATTCGTGTTGCTTCCTACCGATGCTTCTCGTTTACCTTTTGCAGAAGTATGTCCCGAATAAGATTTTTCCTCCATACTTTTCTTTCCCGCACTCTTCTCTTCCAAATTCTCCAATTTTTTTCTACTCGTCACTTCATTCTTTCTCTCCGATTTTTTTTTCTCCTCTCCATTTTTTGTCTCGTTATTTTCTATTTCTTCTTTAGACGTAACTATTTTCTTGTTAGGCCCTTTGTCAGATACATTTGTCTGCCAAGAATACTCAATGGTTTCCTGCTCAACTTCTATGGAGTCTGAGAACCTTCTTGACAAGAAAAATCTCTTTGGGACCGTCTCGTCGTCTTCGAAGCTCCTCTTACCTTCATCATCGATGTTCATTAAGGTCTTCGTCGATGAGAACTCACTGATCATCGTTGAACTATCTCTCTGAGAATTATTCTCGTCCCTGATCGCGCGATCGTCCAAACTGTCAGTCGAAAAGCTGCACTCCTCTGCACTCAGCATGCAGGTAGCGTCAGACTGGCGATCCTTACCTCTCAAAGCCTCCTGCATCTCCTCCATTTGGATCACCCATTCTGGTTTCCTGTACTCCTTTGTTCCGAGGATTCCTAGTCGATAAAAATTGATTAGATATGCGCACCAACCTTCGACCCTTCAAGTCCCATCTTAAAAGCGATTTTTCTTTCATGCCTTCATTTTAGATCAAAGCATTTATGTCAATTTTGATCTTTGAACAATCATATTATTCTTTTTAATTTTTACGCTTGACAGATGACAAAATATTCTGTTCTCAATTAAATCCATTAAGGTAGTCCCAATTATTTTTATCTATTTGCACGCGATTCTTCAAAGATCGACAGATGGAACTCGAAGGGTCCAACGGAACTAGCGGAATTATCGAATAAAATAATATTAAAAAAAGTGTCGGTGAAGGGATGTAAGTGTTCAGTGTGAGTTTCGATATATTTATGAGGGATATTCAAGGAGAGCGTTGGATGGTTCTCGTTGATGATTCCGATCGAAGAGCGCAGCTGAAAATAACTCTCAAGCTGATTAGCGAAGCTTCTTTTATTATTTTCATTAATGAATCCCGTCTTTGCGTTCGAGTAATCACCTTCTACCGACAGATAGGTAGTCGTGGTCGATACGCCGAGCGGATTGTGCGCCTCGAACACAATCTCGCCCGTGTCGTCGGGGTAAGTTTCGGCAATCGTTAGCACGGACGTGCCGTCCTCGAACTCCTCGATTTGGAATTCTTGCGACGACACGATCTCCACGCCCTGCTTGTACCATTTCCCTTCTGGCTTCGGTTTTCCCTTCACCTTCACCTCCAGTCTGCAATCAAGCAAAATCAAAATTTAAACGATGATTCAAGATTTTACTAAAAACTATGGATTATTTTATTACTTTGAACAAAAATATTTTCTATCAATTTACCTGGTTAGTTCTCCATCTTTGGTAGGAATTAACTGAGGAAGCTTCTTAATTATCTCTGGTGCGGATTCTTCCGTGTCCGTATCGAACAACGGAGTTTCCTAAAAAAAATTTATACATA